ACCCCATGATCTCCCCATCCCCAGGGGCTTCCAGGCACTGGTCTGTGGCAAGAGAACTGTCTCCTCCTCTCTGCAGTTCTGGGTTCTAGGGTCTTCAGGAGGCTGGAACATTGCCCCGCAGGTTGGGCTTTGGTTGGACTCTTTCCCTGTCCCCACGTGCCCACCACCCTCAGGCTCCGTTCAAGCCTGGGAGTGTGAACACCCCTCCCGACCCCCTCCCCACCCACCATCCCATCTCATCTGCATCTCCATTCTCTCCACCGGTTCCTGGGCGCATGCTCCATCATCATCTCCCACACCAGTGTCCAAGAGACGCAAGGCCCATCTGCGGCGCCTGGATCGCCGGTGGACGCTGGGCGGGATGGTCAACAGGCAGCACAGCCGAGGTGACCACGGGAGCAGCTTCTAACCCCGTGCTGGCCTTCACTCATACCTCCTGCCCCCCACCACCTCTCGCTCTGCTCACCTCCCCTCTGCCTCTGGCCAGGCTGGTCTCTCTTCTGCTGCCTTGGGGAGGGGACATCGGGCAGTGTGGGGATGGATGGCTCTGCTTCTGCTGGCTTCCAGGGATGGGGCAGGTGGGGAGCGGGACAGGGAGGCTAGGAAGTGCTGTGGGCCCCCCCTAAAGCAGGCCTGGGGGCCCAAGGAGGTGGGTGAAGGGTCTTCTGGGCTCCAGGAAAGACCATGTTAGTCCTGGAAACTGCACTGTCCCTCGCTGCGTTGCCACTTCCCTGAGCTGAGGCCGAGAGTTGTGTTAGCAGTCACTCAGGGACAGAGTGCGCCTCAGCTGGCACTGGGCTCTAGAACAACAGGGAATGCCAGAACCAGCCTCACCAGGTGCCACCTGGCCAACTTGGGCGATGTGACTCAGCTGGGAGTCCCTGGCCGCTCCCAGTCTCAAGGGCATGTCAAGGATGGGAATGTAAAGCAAAGGTCAGCCCAAGCTAGGCGGGCTGCAGCGGCACTGTGGGCAAGGCTAGGGTGCAGCCCTGAGCCTCCACACCAAAGGAGAGTGGGAAACGGGCTTGGAAAACTGGAGCAGACAGAGGTGTGCTTCCCTGGGCCCCTCCAGCACCTGCTCCACACACCAGGACACTGAGCCACACACAGCTCTGTCTTTTTCACCACAGTCCAGGAACTCCCTTGCAGCCCGCTGGCAAATCACAGCACCCCCCCCCCATATTAACCATGGTTACACCCACTGCCCAGCACACCACACACACTGTGCACGCACACCCAGTCCACATACACAACCACTGTGCACAGCCCTGAGGGCCCCATGTGGGTACCTGGGGACCATGGTGGTTACACGGGCTACCCCTGCACTTGGCACGCACGCCTGGGGCCATGCATGTAGTCATGCACAGCTGACAAGCGCAACAACTCTTGCGCTAACCAGGGTTATGCCCGCTGCCCCGCGTGCACGTGGCAGGCACGTGCTCACATCAGCTGCACAGCTCTATAGCCGCACCCACAGGTCCACATAACCCTTCCCATCGTCTCGTGGGAAAACCAAAACGGCCCCGACTCGGCAGCCCTGTCGAGCAGACTGGCACCACCCCTAGGGCTCCCAAGGCTGCTGTGGTCCTGGAAGCACTGCTACCCTGTTCTCCCAAGGAGTGGCTGCTGGGTCCGAACCACGGGCCTTGGGGTCAGCAGCTGAGTGCATAAGCGCTGCTCCTATTGTCTCTAACACAGAACCCACCTACCAACCACAAGTACACGGGAACCACTTACAAATACTCCCTGAGTAGGGAGCTGCAAATACCCTACCCAACATATCATTTCAGACCACCCATCCATGTACAAACACACGGAAACAAGTACCCACAACTGTTAGCTTCTCCTCTAATTTTCCACCCCAGCCCTGTGGGTTAAATGAAATGGAGAAGCCAAGACAGACTGGGTGCAGGCCCGCCGGGAGAGGCTCCTACTGATAGGGGAGGTCAGTGGTGGGCACCGACTGACCAGATGACAAACCAGCCCAGCCTCTGGGATTGGAAGGTTTCTCCCTGAGCTGGAGTCAGCCTGGGAGAGTGCTGACAGAGGGGGAAGGGTTTGGAAAGGGGACGAGGATGCTTTTCTGATTGGAAGCAAGTCCACTGCCCTCCACTACAAACCACTCCCCACCCCTTCTGACCCAGCACCCCCTCCTCAGGGTCGTGCGCCCCCACCACTTGGCCGTCAGAGTGGAGCCTGACCCCTCCTCCCTCCACTGTTTCCTGAGACCCCCACCACCCTTCCCCCATCTGACTCGAGCCAGTGGTCTTTGGGGCCCAGCTCCAGTGGAGGCCTGGGGTCCAGGTGGCCCGTGTCCACAGGAAGGTAGCCTGTACCTCTGCCACCTAAGCCCGAGAAACCAGCTCAGAGTCCTCCCTTGGAGTGGCCAGGTGCTTGAGCTCACAGCAGCCGGGGGTCCCCCAAAAAACAGGGTCCAGAGGAAGCAGGCCTCCATATGGTCGCTGGGGAGCTGAGGCCCAGGGAACAGTTGTGGGTTGGTCTCTGATCTCCCAAAGAGAAGGACTGAGATTTTGGTCTGCAGCCGTGCTTAGGAAAAAAACGTTACTGATGGTTTCCTGCTCGAACCACGGGCTTTTAAAAATAGCCCAGCGTACAAAGGCGAAATGTGGAGACCAGACCGTGCCTCGCCCCTAACCTCAGAACTCTGGGTCCCTGGAGCCTGGCACTGCCCCGCTGGCCCTCCCAGCCAGAGCTTGCCGTGCCCCGCTGGGAAATGGAGCGGGGCCAGGAGCTAGGTAGGGAAGCGAAGGGCTGGCCCGTGGAACGCGGCCCCTCTCAAAGACCCGAGTCCGAATCTCGCCTCCTGAGGTTCTCAGGCATCTGTGGCCACTCCCCGCAGCCTGGCTGGAGCTGTAGGGTCAGCACACTTCCAGGAGCCAGGGCCGGCCTGCATCCAGGGAAAGGAGGTCAGCTGGGGGCCTCTGTGGGCTATTGCCCCCCTTTTTCTCTTGGACAGCTTTTCAGACTTGGCCATCGGTTCTGTGCTCACAGCTGGTGGGCGGCTGCAGGCCATCCTGATAACCCAGGAAGAAGAGCCGATGGCCCTCCCACACAAAGCTGCCTGTCCAGGCCCAGCAAGGCGTTCAGGGGGAGGCGGTCACAGCTGGAGCCAGGCTGGGCAGGCGTCTGCGCCAATGTCCTGCTATTTTCAGCTCACAGCAAGCCCACCCCCACCCCACTCCCAATGCCCTGCCCAGCCCTGCCTTTCTCGGCACTGCAATAGTTGATGGTCTCGTCGGAGGACCTCCTGTATTCCAGGCCCTGTCTCAGCCCCAGGAGAGCCCCTGGCTGTCCGGTGGAACCACAGAGGGTCTGGGCGACCCTCCCAGAGAGGGCAGCAGTTCGTGCCTGGCTCTCACTGCTCAGTTCTCCCTGAGGTTGGGGCAGGCACAAGGAGACAGGCAACCTTCACCTACCTGGCTATGGGTAGTGGCGTATTGAGGATGCCGTGGCACCTCCCTGGAAGCAAGACCAAGGACACCTGCCAGAACAGGTGGAAGGGCACCAGGTGGCCCTGACCCTCCTACAGTTGTCCTTCCAGGCACTTCCACTGAGCCTGTCAGTGCCACCCCTGCACCTGTGCAAACAAGGCCGGCGCCCCACGGGCTCCCTGGTCCTTTTTGTCTGTGGCTTCTCTGACCTTTTGCATGTAACTGTGCCGCTTGCCCAGAAAGACAGTGTCCCCTTGAGTGTGAGGGCAGGCTTCCCAGAGGAGGTGGCCCTGGAGCCACCTGCATGCAGGTCAGATGGAGAAGGTGGTGGGAGGAGGAGAGAATTGGTGGGGGAAGAGGCATGGTCAGGGACATTCAGAGGACACCCAGGGGCTGGTCTCTGATTTTATGACTCAGGACCCAGAGGAAGCAGCAAGCTCCTCTATCCCTGTCCCTAGCCCAGCACACTCCTGTGGATGCCAGGCGAGGGCCAGCACCAGGCGAGAGTGTGTAAGACACTCGCTGGCACAGCAGGGGTCCTGCCCTCACGGCCTCCTCTGGCCGGAGTCTGGATGCCAGCCCTTCACTGGAAAAGGCCGAGGCAGGGCCCGGGCACCTCTGCAGCTGCTGAACCAGGTGGAGGGGAGGTGGGAGCAGGGTCTGCCCCAAACCCTGCCTGGCACTGACAAGGCCGCCTGCTTCCCCATACCCCCAGAGGAGAAGTATGTCACCCTGCAGCCCTACACCAGCCAGAGCAAGGACGAGATTGACTTCGAGCAGGGCGTCACCGTGGAGGTGATCCGGAAGAACCTGGAAGGCTGGTGGTACATCAGGTAGGAACCTGGCAGAGGAGCAGCGGGCGGGTGTGCCTTCTCCCTCCCTCAGGGACCTGGGGGCGGAGCCTCAGGCATTGATGGCAGCCTGCACCCTCGGGGTTGGGCTGCAGAGCTCCACCTGACTTGGCTCAGACCATCTCCCTGGACGCGAGAGCCAAGGCCCAAGCTGAAGCCCCGGCTGTGGGGATGTGCAGTCCCTTCCCACCCAGCCGCCAGAAGGGCTCTCTCAGCCCAGCTGAGCCTGCTTTCCTGCGTCGAGCCTGACTGCCTGGCGTGTTTGGTCTGCAGCAAATCTCCAGCAGGCAGCCTCTGCTGGCCAGGTCGAGACTGAGCTCCGGACTTTTCCTCCCCTGCTGAGATGCCCATGAGGGAGCGGGATGGGGAAGCTCTCCCAGCTCTTCCCAGAGACCAGTGGAAACTGGACTTCCCTGCCAGGGCCCACCCTGCTCGTCTCCTCTGTCCAGGGCCCCCCTAGGGGACCTGTGCTGTGGAACTAACTGGCTTCGCTGTGATGACTGCCCAGCTGTCCCACCTGCCCTTGTGGGGCAGTACGTGTTCTGTGGGGTCTCTCACGGCACTGGCAGGACCGAGCTTTGGTCCCCTGGGCCTAAAGTGCTACCGACAGCTATGAGACAGTTGTAGAATGCAGTAGACTATGACAGTGTTAAAGGTTAGCATCTCTGACAGCCAAGAAGGTCACTAGCTATGAGGAGCTGAACCCTCAGTGGGACCTTGTGTGTAACAAAGGGCAGCCTTGGCCTCTGCCCTTTCCTGTCCTGTTACGTGTGGACGTGTGCTGTCCACAGGCCCTGCTCGTAGACCCTCATCTTCTCTCCAACTTGGGGGCTAGGGGCAACCCCCAAATCCAACAGCCTCACATCTGAAAGGCAAAGGCCAGCACAAATCCTGGCAGGCTGGTCGCCTGATTCACTTCCCTGGAAGTTCTCTACCAGGCTGCTTTGTGTTGTAAGCTTTCTAAAACGACCACCAGAGTCACCCTGGGCTGCTGCTTCTAGTCAGCCCCTGTCCCCATGGCTTAGTCCTTTGGCCAGTGGACACTTGAGCCGAGAACATCTTGCAGAAAGGTTCCACCTTAAGGCTGCCAGACACCCCCTTAAATGTGCCATTTCCCAACATTCCAGGCTCTGTGTTGATCTTCATTTCCTGTCTTTCTTCCCTCCCCCTACACACACACACACTCACTCACACATTCCCTCCCTTTCCATCCCTCCTTTTCCAGTTTGCTTCCCTCTGGAGTCATTCCATGTGCCAGAGCTGGAAAGCAGATGTGAGCAGAGTTTGGCTGCAGACACACACACACACACACACACACACACTCTCTCTCTCTCTCTCTCTCTCTCTCTCTCTCTCTCTGAATTGCCAGCGTTGCTCGGCCCGGAATCTAATTTTATCCATGTAACTGAGGGAACGTGGAAGAGGTTGGAATGGGAGTGCTGGGGCCCTGAGCAGGCCTGGCCATCCAGCAAGTCTCCGTATCACCACAGCGTTCACCAAGAAAACCATCGGCAAATATGAAAGCAGTAATGATTTATCATTCTTCAAGGGGTCACAGGTGGGAATGGGGGGAGGGAGGGACCGAAGAGGAGCTGATATCAAGGGCTCAAACACAGCAAATGTTTAGAAAATGATGACAACATATGTACAAGCCGGCTTGATACAGTCGATAGTTGGAATGTTCTAAGAGCTGTAAAGGCTCCCAATAAAATGATTTAAAACAATATTTTTTAAGTAAAAAGAAAACCACTATAGCCACCAGTTAGCAGACCCACCTTCATCCTGGAGATACAAGAGCTTTGGGCTTGGCCAGGTGCTGCAATGGCCAGTAGGGACCCCCTGAGACCTGCTTGGCTTCTCTGGGCGTAGGTTGGCTCCTATGTAAGGTAGAGGATTCTTACTAGTTGCTTCTATCCCCACCCCAACCCTTTCTGTGTTCTATCTACATCCATTATCTTGGGAAGCTGAGCCAGCCCCTGTCTTCTATTTACTTGTCCCTTGATGCCAGCTTGGGACAGCGCCCTCCTGTGCCATGAACCTAAGATACCACCTCCCACCTGAACTTTCCAGTCAGGCTTAGACATATTGGTAGGGACCTGGTGTCCGGCTCCTTGTCTTCCACTTCGTGAGTGCTGAGGGCCAGGTCAGGTAGGGGAGGGCTGAGGCATCGGGCATCTGGCTTAGGAGAACCAAGCGCCCTTACAGAGAACCAGATGTGTCCCAGGGAGCAGACAGGGACACTGCAACCCTGACTGATGGGCACTGGCCAGCCACTGCTGGACTAGGAAGTGAGTTCCCGGTTGGTGTGGGTAGAAGCTGAATGTCATGGGGTCGGGGAGGGGAAGGCTTGTTTTTCCAGAAGTCATGGCATTGCCCAGAATTAACTCAGCCCTGTCATTTGTTTTGCACTTTTGTTTAGGGACGTTCGGTTTGTGTTCTGTGCTGCCATACCAAAGGGTTGAATCTTCTCTAGTCATGTGCCTTAGTCTTTTCATTTGTGGTTTCTGTTTTGAGGGCCCTCACGTATAGAGACTCTCTGTACCCACAACCTCGTATAAATACACCCAGGTTTTTGTTTGTTTGTTTGTTTTTAATTTTGCTATGTGGCGTGAGGCCAGGATCTCACTTGTTTTTCCTCATTGGATAATAAGTTGTTCCCAGATCATTTACTGACGACTCCATCCTCGCGTGATGCCCCGGTCCATGTGTGCAGACTGATTCTGCGTCCTTGCTCTGTCTCTGCCTGCAGAAATTCCAATACCCGCCCCAGACAGATGCTCTTCTTCGTAGACCTCCTCTTCATGGGCCTCGTGTGCTCGGCCTTTCTGGATAGACCTGAGCAGCTACTTTCTCCCTCGTGTTGCAGATGCAAACCACCTGAGCCGTAGAGTCGTGGTTGGTCCGAGACACCACCAACTCCAACTCAGATGTCCTGACTGACCTCTGACATCTCTCTGCAGCTCTAATGGTGTCTTGCCTTCCTGTTGGGCATTCGCTGTGTGCACGATGCCTATCCCTCCTCGTTTCTTGTCTCGGGGATTATCCTCCACTGTTGTGTGGTAGGCAAGCCACTATGAAGTCTGCCATTTGGGCTTGCCAAATGTGGAGGTCCCACGTTCGTGTGATGTAGCAGAGAATGCAAGGCCACCCCAAGAGGGAGCAGATGGAGAGAGAGAGAGAGAGAAACTGTGTCCTGGGTCTAGTGGGATGGCCAGCTTGCTTACAGACGTGGGAGAGAAGGTTATGCTCATTGAGGCCTGAGGCTGGGGCCTGCCGGTGACCATCGGGCCAGTCACCAGGGCTCTCATGATGGCATGCTCCACCCCTTCCCACAGATACCTGGGCAGGGAAGGCTGGGCACCTGCATCCTACCTGAAGAAAGCCAAGGATGACCTGCCGGCCCGGAAGAAGACTCCGGCTGGCCCGGTGGAGATCATTGGGAGCATCATGGAGATCAGCAACCTGCTGAACAAGAAGGCTTCTGGGGACAAGGACACTCCGCCAGCGGAGGGCGAGGGCCCCGAGGCGCACGTCACCAAGAAGGAGATCAGTCTGCCCGTCCTCTGTAACGCCTCCAATGGCAGCGCCCTGGGCGTCCCCGAGAGGACTGTCTCCAAGCTGGCCCAGGGCTCTCCAGCCGTGGCCAGGATCGCCCCACAGAGGGCCCAGATCAGTAAGAACCTCCCGAACCCCGGGTCTCCCCGACAGAGCTCCTTGGTCCCAACCTCACCGTGTCAGACTCTCACTCTCCAACTGGGTGATGCTAGTCACGTGGGTGGACAGAGCAGGAGGCCCTGGCTGGCCTGTATCTTCCTGACCCCTCCACTGAAAACAGCAGCGCACACAGACAGGAAGAGGGAGGCTCCCCACCCCCACCCCATTCTTCCCTGCTCTGATAGAAAGCCACTGGCAGCCAATTGCTAGGATACACGCATTGCTATAGTTTTCTAAATCAGGACTGCTGATAGATCATCTTACCCCAACCCCAGCTCTCACCCCAGGCTGTGAACTGTGGGCCCCGTGCACAAGGCTGCTTCCTGGGGCAACAGCCGAAAGACGAACAGCTTTCTGGGCTTTACCTGGTCCCGCCCTTTAACCGCACCCCATAACCAGAACCCCACAGACTCAACTGTTTCCCACAAGCAAACATTTGGCATTCTTCAACTCCTGTGCTAGCCCAGCTCTCTGGTCCCCTCTAGGTGCCCCTCACCATCCATCCTTGAACCATCAGTGGCTTTGGGTGAAGGTTAAACTGGGCAGCTTGGTGTGCCTTTTGGGGGGGAGCCCAGCCACTCACAGCATATGGAGGAGACTGTTTCTGTTCAGCTCTGGCCTCTCATGTCCAAAACCTTTTAGGCAGTCACGTGGCACATATTTCTCGGGCGCTGACTCCAACCTGGTAGTGTGCTGGCTTCGAAAGACCAAGTCGGAAGCCGGAGAGAGACCTGGCCCCGCTCTTTAACACCGAAAAGCAACCTTCTCCTCATTTGGGAAAATGCCCGTCTGTCTGTCCATGATAGTAGGGTCATGGACACACACACCCCACCCCAAAGTCCAGCCAGAGAACCCCCACCTTCTGGGCTTTCCTGTGGCAGGAGTCCAAGGAGAACCCCTGTGGAAATGGGGAGTCGTGCATGCAGGACGGAAGCACGGACCTCCTGGGATCAGGCGTTCACTGGCCACCCTGGGGGCCCTCCGGTGAGACACTGCAGCCCGTGCTGGGACTGGGGTCTCTGAAGCCATGTTTCTTCTTCCAGGCTCCCCAAACCTAAGGACAAGGCCCCCCCCACGCCGAGAGTCCAGCCTGGTATGTGTCCTTACAGGTGTTGCCTGTCTTCCTTCCCTCTTTATCTGACAGTGCGCGCGCACACACACACACACACACACACACACACACACACACCTCACCACCACCCCCAACCCCTAGGCTGGCTCTCTGCTGGAGCTCTTGGTCCAGGAGTTTCCAGCCCACTGTGGGGTCTTCCAACTTTGGGGGATGGGGGCGTGTAGAGGCAGGAAGCCTGCTGAGCCTGGTCTCTCTGGGGACCCAGCCGGACAGTTTATAACTTGAAAACCCACTGCACGGCAAAGCTAAATAACCCCCTCCCTGGCCACCACACTGGCAGACATAAACATTTAGACTGGCTGATGAGAGTGTCCAGGCGGGTGTTGGCAGGGGCTGGCAATGAGTCTGCTGTCCTCGCTGACCGAGGGGCATTTCAGCTCTGTCTGGCTCCGAGCTGCCCAGCGACGGAGCTCAGGGACGCAGCTGAGAGGGCAAGGGTGGCTGGCGAGTGGCCTCCTGAGAGGGCCATGTCAAGGACCAGCTCACATGGAGGCTCATGCCCTGGGGCCTGCTGGAGCTCAGAGC